AACAATAAAAAATAATTAGCTGGACTCAGTGGCACACACCTGTAGTCCCAGATGCTTGGGAGGCTGAGGAAGGAGGATCACGTGAGCCCAGGAGTTCCAAGCTGCAGTGAGCTTTGATTGTGCCACTGCACTCCAGCCTGGGTGACAGAGACTTTGTCTCTAAAAAATAAAAAAAGGGAGAGAATATGAATATGGATTCGGGATGTAGATTGACTTGCTTGGATCTCTGGCCCTGTCACTTTCAACTGAGTACCCTGGGCAAATTAATTAGCTTCTCTGAGCTGTTTCCCTACCTGAGTAAAGGATGCATTCAGTAAGCAGCAGCCATTGTTATTCTGGCCAAACAATGGTTACCAGGCTTCTCTGTCTAGGAGAGTTGCTAGTGCCACCTTCTTCCTGAGTTGAGAGCCCCATTCCAGACTGGAGTCCCCAGAGACCCTGGAAAAGAAACTGACAAAAAACTGACAAAATGCAAAGTGCAAACTCAGTGACTGTGCCCCTGGGGACACTGAGCTAATGATCCAGGGACGGTTAATGAGCTTCCTCCTTTGCTCTCTCACATTGCAGGTGGCATGGCAGCTTTCCAGACCCATCCACTTTCTCCACACCTGCCCCCTCTGCATGCAATTTCTTTGCAGTGTCCTAAAAAGCTAACCAAGCTGAAATCACCTGTGCCATGGCTGTAACACTCCTGCACCATTATTCAGTGTTCTCTGAGGCCCCAGCTTCATTCCTGCCTCCTACCCCTTTCCATCTGTTGGGATCAATTGAAGGACTCGGCAATGATAACTGCTGAGATGGTCTCTTCAGTACTGAGTGTCTGGCCTTGCTCAGGGTTGGGGACAGAAGGAGGCGGCCCTGGAGAGCTTGCTTTGGTTGTGAATTCCTGCGGCCTCCCTTATGACCCCTGAGCATTCTTCCTGGGTACTTCCTGAGGTGGCTCATGTATTATAGTCACAATTACATTATGATTTAGTAAATGCCGTCAGTGATTTCCCCTGGAGAGGTCGTGGGCCATGGTAGCTTAGGCCACAGACTGGGGATCGTGTTGCCTGTGTTGAAATCCTGGCTTCATCATTTGACAACAGTGAAATCTCAACCCAAAGTATGTTAGCTTTTAGATTTCACACAACCTGCTTCCTGGGAGCCAGGCGTTGTTGATAAACCCTCCAGCTAATAATAACAATCATAAGAGTAATAGCAGCTATTATTTATTGAGAGCCAAGAAGTTCTACTTGATTGATTCACAGATCTCCAGAAGACAGACATGTTAATTAATGGATAACTTTTGTGGGTGGGCAGTCATATTGGACATCCCCAGACACTGTTTGCATGGGTGAGTTGCATGAGGGCAAAGGAACTGTAATGAAGATATTTTAAGGGTTCATTTCTAGGCTCAGAGAAAAGAGCGTGGCATGTCCCCTGCTCCATGGATCAGCGGGTTGTGAGTGTGAGCGACAGAAGCACATTCTTCTCATTTCCGGTAACTTTGGCTACATTTCTGTGTGATGCTTTTGGTGCTCCCCACCACATCTCCTCAGCCCTTGTCAGATTTCAGCAGCAGCCCTGGTGGACAGCCCTCCTGTATGCTGACAGCATCCCACCTCCAGTGCCTGCCTTCTCTTTCTACTTTTCTGCCCTCAGGCCGGTAGGGGAGTTAATGCCCCCAGGCAGAATCCTCAAGCAATGGAACATGGGAGTCAGTGGGTAAATGTCCCAGCTTCCTGTCCATCAGAGGGACAGTTCCTCAGTGTCCATAGTAGAATTGGGTTCTAGTTGTCCACAGTGATAATCAGGCCAATAACCCACAATTTAATGGCTTTTTCTTTTTCCCTTTTGCTCTCTCTGCTTCCTCACTTTTATTTCTTGGGATCACTTCTTAAATCAACTATCAGGACCCAAATCCTTGCTTCTGGAGCTGCTCTCAAGCTAAGAAGGTCACTCTCAAGCTAACTCTCAAGCTAAGAAGGTCACTGTCAAGCTAAGAAGGTAGCTCTCAAGCTAAGAAAGTCGCTCTCAAGCTAAGAAGCCCAAGGGGACAGACCACTGGCCAGGGCAGTGCTGTCTCTACTGATTGCCACAGTGCGAGGGCTGGTCACAGGGGATGTGGTACTTGTTGGTCTTCAAACACCTGTGAAATGGCCTCCAGAGACTTTCAGCAAAACTTGGGTGGTGCTGTGGGAGAGACTCTTTTCTGCCCCCTAAAATTTATTCTTTCCTTTTAGGATTCCACAGGCTGCCCAATGGAAAGTACATTTCCCAGCCTCCCTTGCAGCTAGGGCAGCCATGCTCTTGTCAATGGAATGTGAGTGGAAGTGATGAGTCATTTACTTAAAAGGAAGTTGCTTGGCCTCTATTTCTTCATTCCCCCTCCCTGGGGGCTGGAAGTGGAGTTGCTGGTGGTGGTGCTGAGCTCTGACAAGAACACTTCAGGGGCAGATGGAGCAGCATGGTAGAAGGAACCTGGCACCCTGAGTGACACTGTGGATCAGAGCTGCCTCCCTTCTCAGGACCACCATCCATCTACGGGATGTTACATGAGGGAGAAATAAACTTTTATTCTGCTTGAACTGTTATGTATTTGAATCTCTCTGTTCCAGCAACTTATGCAGTGCCCTGGACTAATACAGTTAATAAGAAGGAATCTGAACAAGTAAATTATGGGTATAAATGCTTATGTGACCTCATTTTGTGTCCTGAGGCCCAGGGACATTCAGGTTACATAATTGTGTTGAGGTGTCTCAAGCACTATAGAGCACCTGAGAGTCAGGAAAGCTCCTGGGGCACTATAGAAACCCAGAGCCCTGTCTGACTTGTCACTGACCTCAGTGGCTCCCTTAGCCTGTATCACCTATCATGTAACATGTTTGCTTCTATGTCTGTATTAGGCTGTTCTTGCATTACTATAAAGAAATACCTGAGGCCAGGCATGGTGGCTCATGCTTGTAATCCCAGCACTTTGGGAGGCCAAAGCTAGTGGATCACCTGAGGTCAGCAGTTTGAGACCAGCCTGGCTAACATGGTGAAACCCCGTATCTACTAAAAATACAAAAAAAAAATTAGCTGGGCGTGGTGGTGGGCACCTGTAAACCCAGCCACTGGGGAGGCTGAGGCGGGAGAATTGCTTGAACCTGTGAGGCGGAGGTTGCAATGAGCCAAGATCTCGCCATTGCACTCCAGTCTGGGCAACAAGAGCAATAAATAAATAAATAAATAAATAACAGAAAAAGCAAACTGAGACTGAGTAATTGAGTAATTTATTTAAAAAAGAGGTTTAATTGGCTCATGGTTCTGCAGGCTGTATGGGAAGCATAGCAACATCTTCTTCTGGGAAACCTCCGGAAGCTTCCAATTATGGCAGAAGGCAAAGGGGGAGCATGCAAGGGGGGAGCAGGCATGTCACCTGGCAAAAGCAGGAGCAAGAGAAAAAGAGTTGGGGGAGCAGTGCCACACACTTTTGCGCAGCCAGATCTTGCGAGAACGCACTCACTATCATAAGGACATCACCAGCAGATGGTACTAAACCATTCATAAGAAATTCACCCCATGATCCACTCACCTCCTACCAGGCCCCACCTCCAATACTGGGACTTACATTTCAATATGAGATTTGGGTGAGGACAGACATACAAACTATATCAGTGTCCTCTCCTCCCAGGCTTGGCTACACATTGTTGCCCAGGTTGTCTTGTGTGGAAAAGGCTTATAAATGAATACTCAGTCACCTTTGAGGATCTGGGATCCACAACAGATGGGCAGCAAGTATGGAACAAACATGCCCTGGCTTGTGTCATCTCATCTTTGTCCTCCAGAGGTGGGCAGTTTTTCACCTCTTGATCATCCCAAATCTCTTTCTCTATTAAACAAAACCTGGTGATAATAAGTTGTATTGTTAGTTTTCTATTGCAGCGTAACAAGTTACCACAAACTTATTGGCACTCTCTCAGTGTCTCCAAGTTCTGTAGCTCATAAGTTGGCATGGGTATGGCTGGATTCTCTACTTAGGGTCTCACAAGGCTGAAATCAAGGTGTCAGTCAGGCTAGGCTCCCATCTGGAGGCTCTGAGGAAGAATTTACTTCCAAGTTCATCCCTTAAAAAACTTTTTCTTTTTTAGGAGACCCAGTCTTGATCTCTTGTCCAGGCTGGAGTGCAGTGGTATGATCAAAGCTCATTGCAGCCTTGAACTTCTGGGTTCAAGCAATCCTCCCACCTCAGCCTTCCAAGTATCTAGGACTACAGGCATGCACCACCATGCCTCACTAATTTTTAAAATTTTTTGTAAAGATGGGGTCTCACTTTGATGCCCAAGCTGGTCAGGGACTTCTGGACTCAAACAATCCTTCTGTCTCGGCCTCCTGAGTAGATGGGATTATAGTGTGAATCATTATGCCCAGCCAAGCTCATTCTTATTATTGGCAGAATTCAGTAACTTGTGACTGTAGGGCTGAGGTCCTGGTTTCCCTGCTGGCTGTGGGATGGAGTCACCCTTATCTCACAGATGACATTCCCTGGTCCTTACACATGGCCCCTCTATATACCAAGCCAGCAATGGTACCTTCAGTCTTTCTCATCCTTCAGATCTCTCTGACTCAGCCTTCTGCTGCCAACTTCAGAAAACTCTGAGCTCTTAAAGGGCTGATGTGATCATATCAGGCTCATAAATGACCTTCCTTTTGATTTACTGAAAGTCAACTGATAAGTTACCTTAATTACAACTGCAAAATTCTTTTTGCTGAGTAAAGTAACATGAACCCGGTGTGATATTGCACCATATCCACAGTCTTGGGGATTAGGGTAGGAAATCTTGTAGGTCCTATTGGAATTCTGCCTACCACATCTACAGCCCCTTTTATCTTAGAATGTTTAACCTTCACCTTTCCTCAACGGGAAGGGAAGGTGATCTCTTGATGCTGGATTTAGAAGAACCTCACTGTGAAAAGGTGTTCAAGGGTGCTTGTGGAGGGGGAGGGGTGGTAGGAGTAAGAGCCAGGAAGATGAATTAGTCTTGGATAAGGGACTGACACTTTATTTACTCATCCAGCCATGTTTATTAAGAACTTCTATTGCCAATTGCTCAGGATCTGGCAGGGAACAGAAAAGAGGTAGCCCGTGCCCTCTTGGAGCTTATGGTCTGGTGGGGAGCTGATATGAAGGGTAATGAATGTTCCTCAAGCAGAAGTAGAGGGTTCCATGGGAGGAAAACTGAGGCAAGAATGTCAGAAAGGAGAAAGTGAGCAGGGATTGACATAGATTGAAGTACTGCTTCTGTGGGGAATGGGAAACACACCATCTCCCAGTGAAGTTAGAGCTTCAACCATTATAATCTGGTCTACAGAGCTCCAAGTCCTCTAAGAATCCTGAGTTCTCCTCAGGTCCCATGGATCACCAGTAAACCACGTCTCAGCTCATTAGCTCAGTCTAGGGGTTACTAACTTGAGTAGACACGCATACTAGGGCTGGAATTTAACATAAATATGAGAAACAGGCTGTATGTAAATTAAAGAACCTGGCAAGTGTGTTGGCAAATGGCAATTGGCCCAGGGTCTCAGTATCAGGGATTAATCAGGGACTAAGCAGGAGCGTGGACACTTCTCTAAGGGGGTCGCCAGTACTCAGTCCGGCTGATTATGCCATGGGGGACAAATTGTCAGGTTTTCTGGTTTTTAACACAATTCAGATTACCTTCTGAAACTTTTAGATTTCTAAAAATCTGAGTAATTTAAAATTTAAGTCATTTTTTAAAATGTAAGGGCCTCTAATGGGGTGATCGATATGAAGTTGTTGATGGCCCACGGCCGTTTGTGGCCTTCCGGATTGTCCTTGTTGAATTGTCTTTTGGATGCTCCACCCCCAGCTTGAACCAAGAAAAATTCTGGGCGTGAAGGTGGCCTCTGCATCTCAGGGCTCCCAACTCAGAAGTTCTTCTTCAAAAGCACCTTTTAGATTTCAGCAGAGGGAATCTTGTGTCTGCTCCTTGAGAGTTCCCCTTCCATTGTGATGATGTCAACAATCCCATTGCCCTTTCTGCTGTGCATGTTAGAGGCTCACAGTTCAATTTAATTGATTGCTTCTCCTGAATCCAGTATTTTTTCTTCCTTATCCTTCACGAGGTCTCATCGACTCAGGCGACTGTGCAGGCTCCTGTTCCACTTACTAGCACTTAGCGTCTGGTTCTGGACAGAAAAATAAATAAATAAATAAATATTTTATTTACCTTTGTATCTAAAGTACCTGGTACATGGTAGGCACTCTATAAATATTCGAGGGTTGGACACATGATGCATTGGCAATTATTTTTTGATAGTATAAGAAATGGACATAAGTAAAATAACTTTGTACATTTTGTAATCACTATTATTAAAGGACTTATCCCTTGCATTGCTCAATGTCCCTTAATTAGTTAGGGTGGCCAAACATACCAATTTTCTCAGGACTAGGGGAGTTCTTGGGATGTAGGATTTACAGTTTTAAAGCTGAGATGGAGCCAGGCATGGTGGCTCACACTTGTAATGCCAACACTTTGGGAGGTCGAGTCAGGAGAATCGCTTGAGCCCAGGAGTTTGAAACCAGCCTGGGCAATATAGAGAGATCTCGTCTCTACAGAAAATTAAAAAATTAGCTGAGCACGGTGGCATGTGCCTGTAGTCCCAGCTACTTGGAAGGCTGAGGTGGGAGAATCACTTGAGACTAGAAGGCAGTGAGTTGCAGTGGACCGAGATCGCGCCACTACACTCCAGCCTGGGCGACAGAGAGAGAGAGACCCTGTGTCAAACAACAACAGCAACAACAACAAAAAAACAAACAAAACCCAAACCTGAGATGGATGGATTTCCCAGGATAAGAGACTGTCCCAGGAAAAGGGAGATGAGTTCGTCACTCTACCATAAATAAAGACCCAAAGAAAAACAATATTCTCTTGAAGCTCAAAAAGTTAAACAAAATTACATTTTTCTGCAGAATTGGGGTGTTTCCTTTCATCTTCTCATGGCAGTTTTGAAAGCTTTCATGTTTCCCTCTTTGCCTTGGCCTCAAAGTAGCTCCAAGGTAAGTTTGTGGGTAATGTCAGTAGCAACTGTCAGTATAGGTTGTATGAAATAATTGTTTCATTGCCTCTACCTTGCTTTTTACGTTTTTCTCTTTAGAAATTTTAACTTATGGTGCAAATTGCACCTAGAATTATGTTAAACTACTCTTACCCGGCATACATGAAAAATGCGTAGGCTTTTGTCTTTTTATTTACCTTCATTTGGTTACTAGTTCATTCTATGTGTTTATTATATTATTTCAGGTGTTGGCAAACTATGGCTGATGGGCTGAATCTGGGCTTGCTGCCTGTTTTTGTAAAAAAAAAGCTTTTATCAGAACACAGCCATGGTCATTAATTTACATATCATATATGTAATTGTATACATATATACATATATTAATAATTTATATGCATCTGTAATAATAAATATTTAATCATTTATTTATGGCTGTTTTCATGCCACAGTGGCAGGGTTGAATAGCTGCCACAGGACTGTGTGGCCTTTAAAACCTAAAATATTTACTATCTGGGCCTTTACCGTTTGCCAACCCCTGTATTTATCACAAACTTCAATTTATTTTGAAAGGACTTACATTTACATATAGTTTCAACGTTTATACAGTATATGTATATTTCCTTTTTTAAAAATGTACCGTTTCAGAGTTTACAGGTATATATTTTCTGTTTACAAAAGTAATATGAATTTATTATAAAAGTGTTAACATCACAGAAATATATAGTGACAATAGGGACCACCCCCTTTTAACTTCATTCCTATTTGTGGCCTCAGTTAGTTAGTTAACTAGGGTAGATTCCTACAGATTCTTTTCTGTGAATAAACTAACCTACACCTATCACTAAAATAGTACCAAAAAAGAAATAAGTCTCTATGTCAGCACATTTTCCTGGGTAAGCATTCTTAGATTCTCCATCGGCAGCATTTTTCGGACATGCATTTACAGACATCCTCACTCATTGTTTCCAATATCCTTCCTCATTGATCTAGTTTAATGAGAAGTCTTTTCTAACTCTTCTCTACAACAGCAACATCATTGCAAGTTCTAATTATTCCTGGTACTTCTCATTACAATAATTATTCTTTCTTTATTATTACTAATTACTGTTGCTTTAAAACATCCCTCAGAATCAATGAGGATGGCAGATGCCTGGAGACTTGTCACTTTACTTCCAAACCACCACATTAAATAGTCAGGACTATGGCTTCGGTTGATTACCCACTTTTTTCTAGGAGAATGCCAGGACCAACAGCCTCATGCCACACATATCCGATGACATTGCTCACCTCCAGAAGCAATGGATGGAAGTCTCCTAGGACCTCTGTCATCACTCAGAATCTTAGACCCGTGGTGCTCTCTACATCTCTGATTGCCTCACTCCTCTTGCCTCCCCTCACTTCCCTCCCCAGTTACTTCCTCCACCACCACTGGAATTTCCAATCTATAACCAGGAAACATCCTTACATTCCTCATGTCTTCTCCAAACATTTTCTTTCATTTCTTGTCTTAGCTTAAACCTAGTAGTCCCCTATCCTTCTTACTGGCTTAAGGTCAGCCTTCCCAAGTGTAGGTTGCTTTTCTCCTCACCCCATGTACCTCAGGCATCCCTTTTGCCACTTTCAAGACATTTCTTCCCATTTTACCTAAAAAATAAAATCTCAGACCCTTTCAAGTGAAGTCCTCAGATTTATCTCAATTCAGACCAGCTGCATCTCAAGTGCTTAATGGCCAGTGGCTGCCATATTGGACAGAATAGCTATAGTATCAGCTGATCCTCCTCAAAGTGGTCCAGTGGCTGCCAAATTGGACAGAACAGCTATAGCATCAGCTGCTTCTCCTCAGAGTGGTTCATGGCATCAGCTGCTCCTCCTTAAAGTGGTCATCTATTAAAAGCCTCTGATGCCTACCTCATCACCACCTTTCTTCCCACTCCACGTTGCTCATCATTCTTGATGATTTCAACATTTACACAGATAACTCATGTAACCCTTTGATTTCTCCATCCTTGGGCCTTCCCACTCAGCCATAATCTTTCCCCGACCAGCCCACTCTTTCCGTAGCCACATCCTGGACCTCGCCATTGGTGGTAACTGTACAACCCCTGAAATCTGGATTTCAAGTCTCCCACTCTCTGACCACCCTCCTTCTGTGATAGTCTTCGCCCTAAACATTTCCCTAACCCAGTAAGACCTTTAGTTCAGCCTTAGCCAATAACATAATGCATGCCACACATGTCATTTAAAATTTTCTAGTAGGCCGAGGCAGGTGGATCACAAGGTCAGGAGATCGAGACCATACCTGGCTAACACGGTGAAACCCCGTCTTTACTAAAAATACAAAAAATTAGCCGGGTGTGGTGGTGGGCACCTGTTGTCCCAGCTACTAGGGAGGCTGAGGCAGGAGAATGGCATGAACCCGGGAGGTGGAGCTTGCAGTGAGTCAAGATCGCTCAACTGCACTCCAGCCTGGGCGACAGAGTGAGCCTCTGTCTCAGAAAAAAAAAAAAGTAAAATAAACAATTAAAATTAATTTAATAATATAATTTATTTAACTTAATAGATCCAAAATATTATATTATCAATGTATAATCCATATTGAATTATTCATGAGATATTTTACATTTTATTCTTTTTATACTAAGTCTTTGAAATCCACGTACTTTACACTTCCAGCACATCTCAATCCAGAGTAGCCACATGTGAAGTTTTCAATGTAGCTAGTGGCTACTGTATTGGACAGAGAAGTTGTATTCCGTTGATTTAATTAGGTTTCATCTATCCTGTCCAATGTCCTTCTATTCATTCTTATCCAGTGTAGATTCCATATCCCATTACTATCATCATAGTATTCCAAGAGTGTCCTCCACTCTTTACTTTTTCATCCAGAAAAAAACTCATTACTGTTCGTTTGGTTTGTACCCATGCAAGGGAATATTACAGCAGAAAATCACATATCTGGATTTTCTGGTGTGTGAAGCCTTGCTTCACTTTTACTTCATGGTCACACATTTCAAATGGATATATAATGCTCCCCAGAAACTTAACACATTTATCTGGTTAAATTTGCTTTTCTCCTGTCTGAGATTATTATTTCATACATTTTTGTCTCTTCTCAAATCTTCTTCATCCCTTCCTCCCCTGACCTCTACTTGCAGCAGATGCCCTGGCTTCATTCTTCACTTACAGATGTCACAAATATATCCAAAATGAAGTTCTGCACCCCCCAGTCCATTCAATGCAGGTAGTGGTGCCATCACCAAAGCAAAAACCTGACTCAGTCTTAATTATTTCTTCACTTCTAATTTAACAACAAGTCTCATGTGGTTTGGCTCTGCGTCCCCACCCAAATCTCACGTTGAATTGTGATCCGAGGTGTTGGAGGTGAGGACTCCTGGGAGATCATTCGATCATGGGGGTGGTTTCTAATAGTTTAGCACTATCCCTCTAGCGCTGTCTCGTGATACAGTTCTCATGAGATCTGGTTGTTTGAAAGTGTGTCATACTTCTCCTTTCATTTTCTCTCTCTCCTGCCACCAACGTGAAGATGTGCTTGCTTCCCCTTTGCCCTTCTGACACGAGTGTAAGTTCCCTAAGACCTCCCCGGCCATGCAGAACTGTGAGTCAATTAAATCTCTTTTCTTTATAAATTACCCAATCTCAGGTAGTTCTTTATAGCAGTGTGAGAATGAACTAATACAAAGTCCTTTTATCCAAAATGAATCTAAAATCTGCCTACTTCTCTTCTAGTCTATAACCACCATCCTGGATCTAGTCCCCATCATATCTCGCCTGGGCTGCAGAGACAGCTAGCTGGTCTTCCTTGTTTTCATTCTGACACCTCACAATTCATTTTCTACTGAGCAGCCAGATAGGTCTTTAAAAAATATAAATTGGATCATGTCACTCCCTTTCTTGCAACTACTTGTTTCCATGGCTACAAAGGTCCTACATGATCTGACCCTTGCTTACTTCTTCACCGTAATCTTTCACTACCCTTCTCCCTACTCACTGTGCTACAGCCTCACTGGCTTCTTGCTTATTTCCTGAGCATACCAAGCTCTTTCTTGCCTTCTGGCTTTTGCATTGTGGTTCCATCTGCTTGGAAAGATCTTCCCCTGGTGTTTTTTACG